GCTCCATCCCCAAGACAGGGTGCAAACATCCTAGGACATTCAAATTGTCCCATCTGATGAGGCGCATAATTATGTTACCCAACCCCAAGATTTGTACTAAACTGTCACATCTAGACAGTTCAAGGAATAAAAAACAGGACTCTACTTGTGGTCATACATAAGAAAGGAAGAGAACATTAAAGGAAGCCTGGAATCTGTATTCAGATTATTTCCGAATGCCCTAGGTAATACATCTGAAAGCACCCAGAGGCTGTCAGGTGTCACGGTTAATAGACAAATGATGTTCTCAAAAAAGTCACCTGTAAACATTAGCAGCCCTTACTTCATTTGCTGTCCCTTGCTGTTCTCCCTTGGTACCCATCACTTCTATCAATGACAAAATAGAATGGATATGTGGTTTTTAATTCTCCTTTGAATAGTAGTTAGCTGCCCTGAGTTCCTCCGCAGAGGTTGAGATAGGACAGGATACAAATGCCCTAAATAAATAATAGTAACTTTTGTTTTGTTTTCAATTAGTCCATCTATCTGTAGAATTCTTCAAGTTTTTGATCACACAGGTTTTCATGTCAATCCCAAACTCAGCATATCTCTCAAACAGAATCTTAAATTTTCAGGAAATTTATTTTTGGTTTTAGAATTTCAACAAAATTTCAGGACATTATTTCTCTCCCTACCCTCCTTTTTTGTTGCCTACATGTCCCCAAATAAATCATCTTTGGATATTACTACTTTGCTCATATAGTACGAGGTATAAAAAGCAGTGTAAATAAAAACTGTGTTGGATGATTAGCCTTCAGATATTTATGCACACACATAATCTGGTGTATGTGGCTTCCAAATAAGCAAGAACATCCACATTAGAAGCCTAGTGAAGGAAATGCCCATTTCTAAATCTGTTTGTTAATCCTTAGGGGAAGCTGTAATTTAGTAAGTCAGCATTTATATATGTGCCATTGATAAAATGGGTCTGTTCTACTTGGGGCTAACAGTAAGATTCTGGTTTGTGCATCTTTCTTCGTGGAAGAGAAATTCCCATTTGAAGTGTTGATAGAAAACAATTCTGTCCAGAAAGGAAGCCTTATTTGATGGACTTTATGGCCCAAGTTCAGTTTTAATATGAAGAATAAGGAGGTTTAGGCAGGGTTTTGAAGTCACTAAACAGCTGTGAAGTTGAACATCTATAGCAGAAAGGAGGCACAGCTGGCATATTGGTTGTTGGCTCACAGGCTTTCCTACAAATTAAATTGATTATTACTAAATTTGCATCTATAATATGTTGGCTAAAAAATCCAAATCAGATGCAAATATTATTTTTTTTTTGTCCTTTTTGTGATGGGGTTTCTCCTCTTTTGGCTATCCTAATGCCATATTATCAGCATAGCAGTTCATGTTTACAAAGCTCTTTCAATAACCCAGAATCTCCATGAAGGAAATCATCTCTCTTGACAAATATGTTTTCATTATATTCGGCTGTATTTTGTTCATATTCCAATACTGACATCTGCTGGAGGAGCACGCTGCATCAAGCTACTTTTCAAAATGGAAAAGAAAATGCAGTGGAAGGGGAAACTAACAACCTCATCTTGTTTTTAAGTGTGTTTTACTTCTTAAAGGAAACAGCCTGTATAAATGGTAGACTGTTATATTTTTTTCAATAAAATAAAACTCTTATGCTCTGCTCAGTTTATGCAATAATAGATGTGTCTAATCTTATCTATGCTCTTAAAAGTACATAAAATAAGTGTGTGTACATGTGTCTAAGTAAGTCCTTCTCATGTGTCTTCTACAAATTTGAAGTCTTGTTCAAAGGCATGTTCATAGGTCATGATCCATTAAAAAAAAAACACAATAGCATCCCTCTAGCTTTAATTCTGTTTGCCTAGAGCATAAATCATTGGCAAAGCTGGACAAATTAGAGCTGTAGTTCGAAATCTGGGGAGCAAAAGGGCAAGAGTGTGATTGTTTGGTGTATATTGACAAGCACTTTCCCCATTATTCTGCCTTCTGTTTCATGTAGTAGTGACCCAGTTGAAAATTTCTTTTCAGAGATAAGGGTGAAATCAAACTAGAGGAAGAAAAGTGTCTTTATCAAAAAGCAGTTTTACTGTAATCCACACCTACATTTTTCAAATGCTGTTTGGAAGTTTTCCTTCCTAAATGATTACAGCAGAATCATTTTTAAAATAACTTTTCTATTCTCCAGCCTATGACATCAGTGCCTGTCTTTCCCTTAATATGGCTCCTAAGGCATGATTCTTTATGTTTGTTATTTATTTTGCGGCATGTTTTATGATTATCAACATAATCCTTTGTATATTTCCTCACAAGTTATGTAATAATCTAGTTAGAAAGATCCCCTACCCATGCAGTTGTGCTTTGTCATTGTATAACATCTATATTCAGTTCGCTGTTCTGTGTGTGTGTGTGTGTGTGTGTGTGTTGGGAGCAACTTGAGAAACTGCAAGTGGCTTCTGGTGTGAGAGAACTGCTGTCTGCAAGGATGTTGCCCAGGGGGTGCCCAGATGTTTTACCATCCTGTTGTAGGCTTCTCTCATGCCCCTGCATGAGAAGCTGGAGCTGGCAGGTGGGCGCTCACCCTGCTCCCTGGATTCAAACCGCCAACCTTTCTGGACAGGATTTAACTCATTGCATCACTGGGGGGCTTCTAGTTGGCTGTTGCATAAACATGATCGTGCAAATGTAACTGCTATACATTCAGCAACTCATTCTTGAATGGTTCATAGCTATTTGTGCTTTCCATGAATTGTTTGTGGAAAATAAAAAATTTAAAAAATAGCTGTATGCTGAGCTGTTTTAGTGAGCACGATCAACTCAATTTTGACAATAGCTGATGTCTCCCATGGCCTATACTGTTTGCTGAACTCTGTCATTTGTGCTATGCTAGAAATGCAGTAACTACAAAATTATGTGTCCAGGGCCAACGACCAGACATTATGGTTACATACAGTGCCAGATCATGAGAAAAAGCTCTGGAAACATGCTGTCTTGGTCACATAGACCATAGATAAAGATTATCATGTATGCATTAGATATTGATTGCACGCACTTTGCCATTGCCTGTGAAACCCTGAAGTTCCATAAAATATCAATGCTTGAAATAAACTTTATCCATCTTTGCTGTTCCTGACTAAAGTTACTGTTTGTTGTCAGTCAGTTTTCCTGCTCAGTTTCAGGCCTCATCCTAGTTTTGTGTCTCACTTGGGAAATAAAATTGGTCATTTAATTTTGTTGTACAATGTACAACAAAATGAAATAAAGTTATTCTATTCTGTTCTGTTCTATCCTACCTAAGAGTATAATTCCAATCACTGGGTTTTGGAAACAGCCATTACATATCCTCCATTTTAAATGGGACAGTAAGCAAACAGTTGGTTGCACAACGTTGGTATTTACATTACTCTAGAGTAGTGTAGATTCCTACTATGCAAGCATCCAGCCTCTGTGTTTGATAAGGCATACACAGCATTGTAGTCGTAACTTCAGTCTTGGGCAGGGCTGCACAACTTGTGGACCTCCAGATGTTTGGGCATAAATTGATTAATAAACTTACTAAATTAATTGTGATTTTCTTATTTCAGGTATTCAGTGAGAATAAGATTCCTTGATTGTGTTTACAGACAAAGGAAGGAGGAATAGAAGTTATCCATGAAATCAATCAACCAGACACCAGTAAATTAATAAATCAATAATTAAAGAATGTTCATATTATATCAGCATAATGAGGAAGCCTAGTATGCCAACCTCGGTTTACCAGTAAGGAGGGTGACGCGACTATTTCCAGTATACTGGAGTGTCGAATTTATTTAATTTATACCCTGCCTTTTCCCCAGGATAGGATTGAAGGATACAATAATTTAAAAATAGCAAGTTAAAACATTGATTTCCATTTAAAAAAAAGTAAACACATTATTGAAAACATGATACAAAAGATAAAACGTTTTAAACATATAATTTCCAGCAAACATTGAAACAAACAGCACACACATATTACCACTCCATAAATAAAATTCAAAGGTCTTGTCTTTCTGCCAGGGAGAAGAAAGCAGAGAAAAGGCCAAAAAGGGACCTTGCATTGGATGGGAGAAGACACCAGGAGGGCTCTCTCTCCAAGTATGCCTATGAAGATAGTGGCTCTGAGAGAGTTCTCCCTGGCTCATTGTAAAGCTCACACTGATTTGTATCCGAAGATGCAGTCTTTCAGATATTCTGGATTCAAGCCATATAGGACTTTAAGTTTGGGGGGAGCGCAGAAGGATGTCACATGATTTCTGAAACCCGCTCAGTCAGCAGCATGGCCACAGCATTTTGGAACTGCTAACATTTCCGAACAGCCCCCAAAGGTAGTCCATGATGAATACGTTAGTAATTTGTTACTTATGTTTAAGTCATTTTCATGGGAGGGCTGACATATAAATTTTGATATGATCTGTGGATAAGTCAAGGTTCGTTACATGTATGCCGGCATTGAATTTTGCCATTGCCTTTCTCACCCCTGAGTCCCCAAAAGCTTTGGGTTTTTGTTTTTGATAATTTTTACTTAGAATGGCCCCAATCCTCCTCCCAGCCCCACCCCAATACCTGAAAATATAATTATTTGCCTCAGTCTTCCCTTAACTTCACTAAAACAGAAAAATAACAAAAATCTGTTGGAAGTGATGTGATATTATTTCTGGTGTACACAGATGAACCAATGCAGCTTGTGGTAGTTGAAATTGTCCCTTGGACTAGGCACAGTTGTCTGTCTAGCTCTATAAATTCTTACCCCCTAAGATAATTGTATTTCAGGAACAAAGACATCTTACATGCTGCATGGTAAAATATTTCACACAATTATTAAACTGAATCCCAAGCCAGACCTCTCCATATATTCCCCATATACAATCCACTGGATCTTAGCTCCTACATTTCCTCCCTCATCCATTAAAAACATCTCCCCACATCAAGCTTGAAAACAGAAAAGAAGATAATTGAGAAAGAAGTTTTATTAGGGCAATTTAACTTTATTTTTTTTCCATACAGCTAGGTCAACTATAGCAGTAATAATAAAATAAGCATAAAAACAAATTGCAGCCCAGGACAGAGTACATAATTTGGAGCAACTACCAAGCAAATTTAAGTCTGTGGTTACATAATAGTAAAAACAAGCACATCTGTCCTTTCAGCAGATGAAAATTGCAGGGTTGCAAGGAAGTGCAACATTATTAATTAATTTGTGTGAATTTTCAGAATAAATCCAATGTTCTTTAATTTTTTCCCCCACCCGTTCACTTTGGCATCATATATTACCCATGGTTTCTCAAGTGCTTTAGGTTAAAAATGGTAAATTTGATAGGGTATCTTTTTTCACCTGCTAAAAGAACAGGATCACTACAGCAATAAAAATAATTACATAACAACTACAGCTATGATGTTTGGTTTGGTTTGCCTGTTGACAATATTTTTTTATCTGTTTCTGTGCGTGTGAAAGTCAATATTGGTTTCTGTTTGGTTGTGTGTGTTTGTGTGTGTGTTTGTGTGTGTATCAGTGTGTGAATAATAAAACTACTGAAATTTGTCAGAAACTGGTTTGAATAGAATATATATCTTTTATATATATATATAGATTTTCTTTCTTTCTCTTTCTCTCTCTCTTTGATACTTTAAACATGCAGTTGTTGTTTTGAGTAATGTACAACACATTTGATCCATGATTTCCCTTTAATGGTTTGAAGTACCTGTTTATTTGAAATTCTGTATCTTAAAAAAATATTTTTTCTTTAATTTTATTTGAATAAGTAATGAACTTCAGGCAGATCTTGACCAGTGCAGCTTTTGTTAGTCATGAAAATTGGGAAGGATGGCCAATCTTTCCAGCTGGAAAAATCCTGGCAAACTAGAAGCTGTTCACATAAAGCAAAGCAACTTTTTCCAAAGGGGTCTGGAGTGCTAACTCTGTGCCACTTTTTAGCAAGCAATTTTGTTCAGCCTGTCATATTTTTTTTAGCCTTAACAAAACTCCTTGTATTTATAGACATTTTTATTCAAAATAAGATCTTACTATTATACAGGTTTCTCTCTCTCTTTTTGACTATATACAGAAGTGCAAAAGGTCAAATTTTTCTCTCTATACTTTCCCACATGCCAAACTGCAGCATAATCAACCCTCAAGAGTTTGCACACGCACTCACACATATTATAATTCTTGTTATACGTAAACTTTTGAGTATTTGGATTATCAACAAAAAGTCCCTTGATCTATTGATTATGCAGCTTATTTATAACAAGGCCTGATATTCAGGGATTTCAAAAAAATATTTAAACAATATCTTAACATTTGAAATGGATACAGTAGAAAATAAATTTTTATTCTAATATCTAGGAACTAGATTTTTTCTTTTATAATTAATTACAAACAAAATAAATCATCAAAATATTACTCAGTTGTCTGCCAGGATCGTTGCAATAGCAACAACTTAACTTCTTACTTAGCAATGATTATATAAGATATCCATATAAAAGATCTTTGTTCTTTTAATGAAACTAGACAAGAACTAACAATGACTGATATTCTTACATTGTAATATTAAATCAGTAAAATATAAATCATTTAGTTAACAATAATACGAATATTCATGACACTACATGTAAATTCAAAACTGCATATGCTATGAAGAAAAAAACTTTTTAATTTTTTTCATATTTTGAAAAATCCATCAGTAAAATCTAATAAAACAAAATCCTATAAACTGAAATGGCAATCATCTGGTAATAGAAAATGAACATGATCTAATAAATGTAGGAAATTAAACTACTATTTTAACGAGGAAAAATATGTCGTATTCTCTAATGTAAGTAAACTACAATAAACATGTGAAGTCACCTATACTTTCTTAACACGATTGAAATTACATTGGTATGGGTTTTAACCCGTAATGTAATAATCTAAGGCTTTAATAGATGTACAGTACAATCAGTAAAATCAACACATCATTCTTTTTTTTTAATTAGAAAGCATCTCTCAAGCATAAAAACTTGCAAGTAAACTTGGAAGTATGGAAAGTTCTAGAACTGAACTCTCGCCTCTTCCATTCCACACTATACTACCAGTGACCTGGCCCCCACCTCAGCAATCTTTAACTTTGCTGAACAGAACAAAATATATCCTTTACTAGCTGCAACATCCAAACCACAAAAATGATTTCCTTTGGATGAATCCATTCTTAAAAACTTGAATGAACATCTATTTTTTGTTTCATTTTTGTAAAGGCTTTCTAAGGCTATAAGCAGTTAGAACAGAAGAAATCACATATAAAACTCATCTCAATATTTAACCCGCCCAATGTCTATTTCTGATTGACATTTTTTCATAGACATCATTGTTTTGGTTTTTATCGTGCATCTGATGTCAGTGCTTCCCCACAATTAGAGTCACTCTTTTCTTGAAGTGCATGACTTTGAAATGATGCATTTTAAGTGTAAAGCCAAACCCACCTTCTACGACACATTTAGAGTCTCTTGGACTTTTGACAGAGGTTAAAAACACGAGCAAAAAGGAAATTCCTTAAACATTTTGCTAACAGTGTCTCAGAAATGGCTTTTCCCTTTTTAAAAAAAACAATTATATATTGTGTTATACAGTATAGTTTGCATAACTATTACAAATACAAGGTATTATAATAATTTATATAAGTTTATATATCCGGTATGTGTAGGAATAACCTGTATATCTAGGGTTCTTTCTATTTTGTTTTAAAATTATTGTGCTGTCTACTGTTAACTAAAGTGGCCATTTCTGAGACAGCTTTGGTTTAAAACTGAAGGGTGCCCTTTGACTGATTAGCAATTAGCAAAACAAGCAAAAAACAACAACAAAATTGTGGCTCTTAATGTAACACTGAAGAAATAATACTCTATGTTGATTACAGTCTATGGCACTTCATGAGAATCTTTAACAACATGGTACTTAAAGCCATTGGTGTGCTTTAAAAATATACACAGTTGTGGTTTTTACTTGGCACATTCATCTCTGTCAGATACCTCTTTACCACTTCTTACAATCTATTACATTTAAAAATATTACTCTTAAAACAAAACAAAAAAGGAAAATAATTATACTGTGCATGCACGGTCTCTTCTATCATGGCAATTTTAAATACAAGGTGCACCTTTTGTTATTTGTAAACCTTGAAAGAAATAAACTTGCTTAAAAATTATATCTTGGTCTACAGACGTACCAATACATAATAGATTTATGGCTACATCACAGTCTGTCTTTTCAAGATGACATACATGATTATGTAGGAAAAGAGTCTACCAATGCATACTTCAGCTGCCGTATGCACTAGATACCTGTGTGCTAGAAAAGATAGACAATGTTGTAGTCTTTAGACAATATGATCACCCCAGCACAAATATCTATTCAATGTACAAAGTATATAGGCAACAGTGTGCAGTGGATTTCCAAGTTTTGTCATTTTTATCTTGTTAGCATGCAATATGTGGATGTCTTACTGCTGAGGAAATTCAGGTGCTGTTATTTGACAGTATATACATTATGGCTAATGACCTGTCCTGTTTCTTCATTCAACCACACTGTCCTCTTTTCTTTTATATGATCTGTGAAAAAAGAAAAAGTCATTTTATTGCATATAATTCTTCTCCTATTCAATTAGAACATTGTGACAGCCATATGCTGTGCCCCTGTATTTACTTCCTGGTAGTACAAGCTGTTTAATTCAAAGAGACTCGCTTCTGAGTAGAGATGTACAAGACTGCAACATTAATCCAAAAGCTTATGTAATCAATTACAATATTTGCCTTATTCCACCTTTACTCCAAATGTGGAGTACAACATGCATTGAAACAACTAAAATTGACCATAGGACAACAACAAAAATATAACTAGATTAACTATTTCACTAAATGCAATACTTAATTAAAAACAGATTTAAACCATTTAAAAAGCAACAAATGAGGCAGGACTCAATAAGAAGGCCTTTGCTTTTGGGAGAAGAACAGAGAGGGGACCAACCAAATGCCAATGGGAGGAAGCTCCAGCCACAGAGAAGGCCCTCCCCTGGTTTTTCACCAAATGTACTTTGAACATTTATTTATTCATAGCATTTTTACAACGCCCTTATCAACCCCCCGGGGGGGGGACTCAGAGCGGCTAACAAAGGCATCAATTCGATGCCACAAATCAATAACATAGTATAAAACCATAAATACATACAGAGTTAAAACAATAGCAATTAAGTATAACCAAATTATCAAAACAGTCATTAAATTAAAAACAATACTCAGTCCACAAACCCATTGACAGAACAATAAAACTGTATCCTCATATAGTCTTGCCAATCCATTTCCAGTCAAAGTGCTGCTTTATGTTTATTGTCCGAAATCCTGGTCCCAAAATTAAGATTTTAATTTCTTCCTGAATGCCAGGAGGGATGGGGTCGATCGTATTTCATTTGGAAGCACATTCCACAGGCGGGGGGCTACCTGCTGAGAAGGCCCTGTCTCTTGTCCCCGTCAGCCACGTTTGCGATGCTGACGGGAGCGAGAACAGGACCACCCTGGATGATCTTAAGTTACGAGGTGGGATGTAGAGGCAGATGCATTCGGACAAGTAAGTTGGGCCAGAACTGTATAGAACTTCACAGGTCAAAACCAGTACTTTGAATTGAGCTCAGAAGTGGACAGGCAGCCAGTGGAGCTGACACAACAAGGAGGTGGTATACTCCCTGTATGTAGCTCCTGTTAGTAATCTGGCTTTCGCCCATTGGACTAACTGCATTTTCTGAACCATCTTCAAAGACAGCCCCACGTAGAGTGCATTACAGTAATTTATTTGGGATTTGACCAGAGCATGGACGACCATAGCCAGATTAGACTTCCAAAGGTACGCGTGCAGCTGGCACACAAGTCTTAACTGTGCAAAACCTCCCCTGGCCACCACCGAAACCTACATCTTCAGGGGGAGTGTAACCCCATCCAAAACAGGCTGTAACCCTATGCCCTGTTCAGCCTTTTGACTGACCAAGAGGGAGTACAGCCAAGAAAAAAAATCTTTTCCCACAGATCTATGAACTAAGGCAGCCTCAAATCAGGTGATATGTCTTTCAGAAGCAGTTTTATAGGTTATGACCAGCATTTGGATAACAAACAAGACTGAACAACACTCCAAGGTTGTGACTGTTGTGGTTGATCATTCTGTGATCACTTATTAGCTTCTCCCATTCTGTCAGGCCATTAAAATGAGCAAGTTGAAGTATTTCAAATGAAAGATTATTTACTGACTGGAACTTCCATGTGACTCTCCTCTACTTGACCAATCTACGCCAAGCACCATTCTAATATGCTATCTGGTTTCTCCACTATCATAGGATTGTAATGTGTATGTTAGACAGAAAGGCTCTAGTGCAGCATTCTCCTCAGCTTACCATGGTCTGGTATTTGGCCTCATTAACTGGGTTCACATTATAAGGCGACAGAATAAAAACTTTGGAAAGCAATACGAATGTGTGATAAAAACATATTTAAGAAACTTACTGTTCGATGATTAAATGTCTACATCTGTGTGACATACTTGTGGCTAGTCAGATGTTCGGCAGATATTATGGGTATCTATTAGAAAAGAATTGTAAATTATGGGTAATTTGTTCTTAAGAATATTACTTTGCAGAAATAACAAAGTATAATGGAAGAAAGACAGCAGAAAACTAGATTGTAACAACATGTTAATAAAAACACAGGTAGCGATTTAATTGAAAACATTCAGTTAATGTATTATTTCAATCATTATCATTTAGAAAGGAGTATAAATTAACTGTTAAAAATTCATGCAGTGCAGTCATTTCAAAAGCCCTTTTTGTTGGCCTACACAGAATTTTGTGGATTGGAGAATTTCAGGTATCAAGTTTCTGAAAAAAATAACAAATCTTGAGCCTGTGGATTTTGCAAGCTTAATTTTAAGATGCTATCATACACATTTTTTACAACAAAAACAGGAACCAAGACTCAATTTTCTGGTTAAGCTATGCCAATATTCAATGAAGCACACACCAGAGAGCAGGCATGGTGTAGTAGTTTTGGGTACTGGACTAGGATACAAGGAGACCAGGGCTTGAATACCAATCAACCATGGAAACTCACTGGGTGACTTTTGGCACGTCACACTTTGTCAACCTCAGAGGGAGGCAATGGCTAACCCAGAAGACCTTGTGACAGGTTTGCCTTGGGGCTACCATGAGTAAAAATTGATTTAAGGGCACACAACAGAAACTACACACCAGAAGAAGTACTGAAAGGGTGAACTACAACACACTGTTCAAAGCTGGGTTTAACAAGCATCAGATATGTGGCAATCCATGCATTGTGATCTTTATTTCATCTTTGAAGCTGGAATGCCATCGAAACATTTATTTTGGTATTTAGGAATCGGAATGATTTCCCAAAGTTCTTTCCACAGCAATGCTATATTGAGATACTCCCAATGCATTCCATCCTGGCCACCGAGTCTCATATTTTGTAACACACCCTGCCAGATATGATCAATAGAATTATACTGAACCAAGCTCCCAAGCTAAAGTCCATTCTTAGTAAAAGCTTGAGTGGAAGAGAATGTATGTTTCAATACGCTGATGCTATTTTGTTGTTGCTGTAGCTGATGTTTCATAGGTTTGGCTATATTTACTAGATGTTACTTTGGTCATCATTTTATGGTTTCAATTTTTTTTAAAAAAAAATCCTGCTTCTAGTATCTTAGGGCAGAAAAATGCTTCCCTGATCCTATATTTCTTCTCTAGATGCCCTTTATACATTTTGACTGCATTTTTTTTGTTTTGCACATAATCATTCCCCAGGTGTAATGAAGCTTCTCATACCATTGTTTTTCTACTGCAGCAGGAGAAGTTGTTGCACCCAGCTGTGTAGAAGCTTCAAGGGTAGTGCTGTCGAAATAGACCAAGGACCTTCAGCACCCGTCAGTGAAGATGAAGGGGCCAACTCTTAAGGACTTCTGCATGCATGCACATTGCATTTGGATGGCATTACATTATGTCAACATTGCTTATGCACTATATACATATATCACTCATATATGTATATACTGAGGCTTTGCTGCAAAACTTGACCAAATGCATCATGAAGACCCAGAGATATATGCATGAAATGATTAGATTGTACAGCAAAGAGAGAAATCCCAGAATCTAGGTAAGCAATTGCATGGGTTTTCTTTTTTAAAATATAGGTGAAAATATGTGTGAGTGATTGGGCTATATTTACTAATGCTTTCTTTTATCTTTTGAACAAGAGTTCCTCAAAGTTATGGGTAGACGAAAAAAAATAAATCAACTTCTAAGATAACTGAACATTTCCTTAACCGTTCCCTAATTAATTTGGCTGGAAATTCTAAAGAGCTATCACATTTAATTATGTAGCAACACTGAATGAGTCTTTGGTAGAATTTTTTCTTGATTTGGCAGAATCCTAAATTTGAATCAACTTAATTCGGGAAATATCTGAATTGTAGTGGGACACCTCAAAGATTATTAAACATAATATTAAACTTGGTTGTTATTGTAACTCAGACACAGACAGACAGAGTTTGCCCCCATCCACACTGACTGTTTAGGGTGGTGTAGGATTGGATCAACCCACAGGAGGCCACAAAATACATGCAGGCTGATTCAGATTAACCCAGAAAATGCCAATTCATGGGTCCCTACTCTGGGTTAAAATAACTTAAGAGAAAGCACGAATTTTGGAGGATTTGGGCTTTCCATGAGTTATGGCAGTGCAGACACCCACAGCTGGTTCCTGTGTGGAACCTGCTGCAGGTGTCCTGAGAGTCATCCCATGGAATGACTGCCCCTTGTCCGCATGCTGCTGTTCGCTACAGCAGCGTCAATGTGACCTATCTTCTGCTAGGATCTCTTCCGACTTCTTTCTATGTCTTGTGAATCATGAAAGAGATCATTTCCATCCTCTTTTCAAGTTACCAGATATGGAAGGAGCTCAGTGGAGATCTAAGCAGACAGTGGGCCACATAGTTTGTGTAACCAGCAGCAGCACATGGGGAAGGTGTGTGTGTGTGTGGGGAGGGGGGAAGTTGGTCCCTGTACAGCAACACCAAATCAGTTCTGATGTCACTGGGCAGTAGAGATGCCCTCCCATCACTGAGGCAGCTCAGAGCATTCCTGCTGAGTCACAATGAGAACTGCAATTGTTTTGGATGTCACTTCTGGCCTGCATTATTTGTCTGTGTAGATCTACCCTTTGTTGCAAAAATGGAGGCATCTCTCCAAGTTCATGATATAAACCAAACCACAAAGCACAGAGAATGGGATCTGAATCTGTGACAAGTCTATCTTTTGATCACATTATATGAATTTATCAGCACTTTATCTAATCCTAGTGCTTTGGACCGGAGATATTGAAATAAGACACTACAAAATTGTTCCAGTGTTTTGCGCTCTTTCCTAGGCGCAAGAGCATTGAAAATAATTGTGAGGCCTGTGGGACTTGACAGTGGATTCTTGCTTGAAAAATGTTCAAGTCTTTTGGTATTTAATCCTGTAATCTTCTGCCTCTGTCTTCTACTTACCCTGTCCTACTGAATTTTCTGTGACTTCAATATCATTAAAGAAGAAAACAAGCAAAGAAAAACTTGTAACTGTTTTGCATTCATCTAGTGTCCTAACCTCTTTATGGATTGTTCAGAAATTTTGAAGGCTATTTCCCTAAGGATATGTGAGTAACACATGACATTTCTATGCAAACTGCTGGACAAATCTTGGAGGCGATAAGGGAAAGTGAATCATCCCTTTTCAAATTCAAAGACTGTCTGGAATGGACAGCAGGAAGAAAACCTACCTAGCATGTAGCCAATGACAGTCCTAGCAATGCTGGAAAGAATGGCTGAGGGGGAAATTACAAAAATCAGTCTGCTAACTGGCAAATTTTGAGATATGAGGAGTTGACTTGGAAGTTAGACTGCGGAAAGGAAAGAGGAGTTGATAGTGGTGCATCTGAAGTGCGAGTTTAGGAAACAGGTATGCTGAAACACGAAACACTCTTGTACTGGATTAATATTAATTGTTTGATTTTATCATTTATTCAGTAAAATGCTGTTATGATCCTTGTTTCAAACATCTGCCTAAATGGGGGAGGGGGGGGAGGGGAGGAGAAACAAACAGCTATAACCCTGAATCCATGACAGAATACACTCAGTGGTACTATAGATTGTGTCTGGATGTCTTCAGTATTATCTTGCCATGATTCATTTGGTGACCTTGCAAACTATGGTCCCTCTGTCTTAGCCACTATTCTATGGAGAACCAAGGAAAATATACTCAGTGTTTCATTTCACTCAGGAAAAGAAAATGTGAACTGTTTCAGTATTGGCAAAAGAGAAATAGGGTAATTAAGCTATGCTGCTGAACTTCAGAGAACGTGTAGGCCAACAAGAGGTACAAACAAACAAATGAACAAAAACAAAACAAAAAATCCCCATGCTCCTTCCAAGCACCGATTCTGAGTTACAGTTTAAGAAACAAAGCTGTAAATTAGCAAACCTGGTTGGCTGTGGCTGTTGCAGCGAAGGGGACGCTTGTGGCAGATGTTGTTGCTGCAGACACAGTGGCGGGCGTAGCGCCGTGCACCATGGGAACTTTCGGAAGGAAAATCATATAAGCAAACATACAGAAGAGTGTAGCAGTATGGGAAACCATGGCAACAGGTGAGAGAATAATTGAGTATGGTATTTATATCAGCAGATAAGCCATGGGACGAGACATCGCCACCAGCGGAGTGACATGCAATTGTAGCGCAAAGCAGAAAACATTCCAGAGAGCAGGAAGGAGAGAAGATGAAAGAAGTGGGAAGGGAAGGGAGTGGGGAGAAAATGAAGGGAAAATGCTTGTTACCATCAAATTATGGGAATCAATACAATCAAAATTAATTATTTCACTTTATATTCAACAAACTTAAAATAGCCCTTAGCATCAAATCCTTACAGCTCTTATAATAACCACACCCTTATCCCTCCCATTTTAACATTTTCTATTGATATTGTCATAACCAGGCTGATATAAAATTCTAATTCTGATTTACTTACATGAAACATAAATTTTGTTTTTTGTTTCTACAACTGATAGCCATGGTGTAGTAGTTTGAGCGTTGGACTCTCACTCCAGAGACCAGAGTTTGAATCCCTGCTCAGCCAACACACTGAATGACCCTGAGTATGTCACACACTCTCTCAATCTCAGAAGGTAGCTATGGCAAATCCCCTTTAAACAAATCTTGCCAGAAAAACCTCATTATATAGGTTTGCCTTGGGGTTGCCATAAATCAAAAATGACACACAACAACATTTCTACAACACTGGAACTCAGAGTCCAGTCAAAATCCACAACAGCTGATCAAGGGGAAGGAAGCTGGGAATGTGTAACAAAGCAACTTGATAACACTAAAAGGACATGTATTCTAGGTGGCCTGTGTCAATTAAATAAAGCAATTGCATTTAATTGACAAGTGTTAGTGCAAGGTGAGGGAGAATGGATTTGCACAATAGCTATACATTAAAAATCAGCAGTGGATTTTGAGAGTCCATGAGCTGCTAAACAAGTTTTAAGATAATCAAGAAACAAAGCTGGCACCTACCAACACTTGTAGCGGGTGTCATGCACAATATTGAGCCTGCCCATCATGCATTGCAACAGGAAGGTGGATTTGCAAAGGGAAAAGAATTAAAACAACCCATCACACGTGTAATTAGGAAAATCTCATTTGAACAAAGAAGAAAAATTGGTTATTATGGGAAACACTTGCATGTAATCATCAGCACAGTCAAATCAAACAGCAAGGTGGTGGTCAATTAGAACTAGTCTGACATGAGCAGGGCAGAGGAGAAGCAGACTGAACTGTGTGCTGGTATTTTGATTAAAATGAGTTAGGCAGTAAGGAAAATGTAGCTCTAACAGTATGAGAAAGTTGCCTGGTTTAAATAACAGATTGATTTGATGATTTATTTATCTCATCAGACTGATTTCACTACTGTTTCCTGTAAAAACGGCTTAACTATTTTTTTAAAAACCCTATACAATATTATAAAAGCATTCACTGAAATGTAATGCCTGCTTTAAAATACCAATACTGCATTATTGCCACAGTTTGGACTCACATACATGCAACATATTATTTCGCCTGTTTGCAAGCCATCTTAGAATTTCTCGTTGTAGGGATGTTACTGTGCTTCTGTGAGTGCCTGGACCAGTTTAAGTATTACGCTAAGCTATGTAAACTATGTCTCCACATGTGAAATTATTGTATATACAGCAACACACAAACCAAAATAACACTGCAATAAGAACTGCTGTCACATATTGCCCAGAAATGTCTCATAAGATAAGGGAGTTCTTGTCTTGGTGTACTCTTTGGTCTAGGAGATTTCTGTGGACTGGAATACCGACTGCACTGAAAAGATCTGACCATGGTGACCCATGATTTAGTTACATCCTGTTTGGATTACTATAATTCATTCTCTATTTGGGGATGCCTTTGAAGAGTGCTTGGAACCTTCATCTGGTCTAAAAAGCTGCAACCCAACTGTTAAATATAGGTGGATACGAGGCATGCACAGCTCCATTGATTTAACAGTTCAACTGGCTGTAGATTAGTTGTGACCTTAAGGATTGTATTCACCCATAAGAGCAAGATTAAGCTTTGAGATCTCGAAAAAGGCCTCTCTCTCTCTCTCTCTCTCTCTCTCTCTCTTGTCTTCATTCTTCGCAGCTACATATGGTAGGACCATTTAAAAGAGCCTTCTAGATGGTTGCTTGCAAGCTCTGAAACTCACTTCCTAAGAAGTTTAGACTGCTATACTTTTCTAGGCAGGTGATCATAGAATCATTGAGTTGGAAGATACCTCGTGGGCCATCCAGTCCAATACCCTGCCAAGAAGCAGGAAAATCACAGGAAAATCATTGGTGACGTTGAAGAAAAGATTCTTTCAGAATGTATTTGTTTTTAACTGTCTTGCTTTTAACTTTTAATTCTATTGTAGGTTTATTTTTAAAAAACTATGAAAATTTCAAAGCTGTATCTCTCTTGATCTTTGTAAAAGTCATATTGAGTTCCAGACTGGGAAAGAGGTGGGTTATAAATAAAGTGCCATATAAATATAAATATATATGATAATGATAATGATAATAATAATAATCCCACTTTTAAACATGTACATTTTATGAATGGACAATATATGAAGAGGATTAAGAAACCACACTAATCTATGGTATACAGCTAATCCTATAAATATATCTCACTTACTCAGGGCAAAACAACATGGTGAAGCAATAATGCAGAAACAGGTCCAGATGAGTTGTAGATAATTTCTGACTTACACATTATCTTTTCTCTGACGACATAAGTATTAGAGAGGTAGTTCTTTGCTAATTTTATTCTCAAACTTATAAGATGAAGATAATTATGACTTCATCTACTACAGTTCCTCTCCTACTCTTAAAAATCTACAGAGGTTTAGGGGACCTTGCAGGATAGTTTAAAGTTAGGGATGGGCAACTGTGCAGAGTACAAGGATCAATTCCTCCTCCTCCTCCTCCTTCTTATTCTTATTATTCTATGTTTAGTATACAATTTGAGTCTCTACCAAGAGATGAAAGCAGGATATAAATACTGTAAATATAAAACAGTAACGGTATATTTGCATACACTTAATATGCTAATTATAGTACAGTACAAAACATTTTATTAAGAAATTTATATCCTGTCCTATATTACAAGGCCACAAATATCTTTAAAAAAACAGACTAATTTAAACAGGCATATTAAACAATATCACAAATTGAAATAGGGTTACGTAGTGAAAATGATTTAGAACAATGTGCAGAGAACTATTTTAAACTGGTTCCAACTTCTAAACCTGTTTATAAATTGTTAAATTATTATTTGTTTCATGACTCCTGCATGTTAATTAGCAAGTTCTAAAAAAGTTTTTAAACATATATTTTGGAACATTTTTGCAAAATTTACATAAACATATTATTTATTTTAATTTTCATGTATTATGCCCCTTGATATTTAAACCACCACACATTTTTATACTGGCTTTGCAGCAAATGAATATGAGGAAGCAATGGAAACCTATGGTGGAATAACTTGCAGGAATGGAAAAGACAGCTGTGTATGACCCCTTTGATGATCATTCATTTAACAAGGAAAGACATTATCATTAATTCCACCTTAGACTCAATTGAATAACAAAAGTGTAAAGCTCCTGAATTTAATCATAAAGTATTTATCTTGTATTTCAGAAGAAGGCAGTTTAATTTAGAGTGGACAGTTAACAGAAAATGTGGGGATTTCTGTAGTAGAATTTTATCACACGAGGAATTATATCCACACTATGAAACAGTATTATTCAATTTCTTGTTCAGTGAAGTGAACTAGCATGCTAATTCTACTTACAATGAAATACCTTTCTTTGCCATTGATTTTCAGTGGAGTACACTGGATCTACAGAAGTGGAAAATGGGTGACTCTCCCGAGCTTTCTCTGAAGCTCTCATCAACCCTAGGCACCAAATCCAAATTTAAAAAAGACCTAGAGCAGTGCTAGTCAAAAGAATAGTGTGCAGACCTTTGCCCACCTGCGAACATCAGCACTGATCTGCAGCAACTTTACACAGAGCAATGTGAATGTGATAACAATATGACATAAAGATACTACTAGTCCCTGATACACTGAAGAAAAAACATTGATCTTGGTCACTAGTTGATAGTCAATTAGCTTTACAGAGGAATAAACATGATTTTGTCAGGTGATTACATCACAAGGCAATAAAAAATTCATCAACTCAAATATATTGTGATAAATAATCATCTAATATAAATGGGATTCCAATGGGAAGTTGTATCTAGCAAACTAAAATATGGCAGTCAGTAAGGTTTTGGCATTGAACTTGGATACTAGGAGTTTGAATTACCATTTGTCTATGAAAAACCACTAAACAACCTTGAACATGCCACATTACTCCAGCCCAAGAAGAAGGCATTGGCAAACTCCATCTGAATACATCTTTACCAAAAAGGTGGTAAATTTGTTTCAATGCCACCATAAGTAGGAAATGATTTGAACACAGATCAAACCCCAAGATGAAATCTTAGGTGGGCTTCTGGAATGCACTTGCAGTACTTATTTTAAATCTATCCTCATCAATAGGTATTATTTTATCTTTCCAGACAGTATGGAAGCTGGGAGTGAGAAAATCAATGGCAAGGCATCAAAAGACTTGAGATTTGTTTCTGCAACTGAAGGCTTTTAATAGTTTGGCTCTAAACAACTGCATGTTTATTGTGTCACCTCTTCATGATAAGTAAGCAGTGGGACACATAAGAGGTTTTTGATTAACTCAGTGAGCAAAGGGGTCTTACAGCATTTAAAACAAACAAAAAAGAACCATACAAACAACTGAAGATGTGTGAAATGAAGGATTAGGCAAAACAGGCACAAAGGAGAAGACTTCCAATGCCGTTTTGATACGTAAGATGGGCACACCTTGGAAATGCAGATTTTCACAGTAGGCCAGAAAGCACCCAACACCTTGCTTCTAAGACAGACATAGGCAGAAACTGCAGTTTAGCAGCCAGAACATCTTATTGTTTTGCTCACAAGGAGCCAATTCAGACTCACTAGTGAATATCTGGGAGCTCTCCAGGTGACCTTGTTTCTCTCTCTTGGTTCGAAAGGAGAGGGGAAATTGCACTTACCTGGTGGGAGGAAGGCTGTGTGCTGTTGCAACTGCATGTTTGCAAGAGCCTGCTGGTATTGGAAGATACCAGTATTAAAGACTGCGGTGGCACCATTGGTTTTTTCAAGCGCAGGCCTCTTTGGTAATGGGGGGAGTACAGCTTGAGGAATTCCCTAGTGGTAGATGAGTATAAGACAACCCAATTAAGGAAATGGGGGGAAATGGGAGCAGAAAGAAAAGGAAAGAGAAAAGAAACAGAAAAAAAATCAGTAAGGATACAACCATTGAGCACCACCATCTTTTTTTCCTTGAGCAAGCAAGCAGCGGAGCGGACTTTACTATTCAAACAAAGGGCGAAGCCAGAGATTTGTATGAAAATATTACTTCTGCCCTTCCAGTATGATTCTGTTGGATGATGATGCATGAGAGCTATACACTAGCATATTCCACTACATAAAAGCTCCAGAGTTCTGTTCTGTTTTGGTTTGTTTTAGTAAGGAAGCAGCAATAATGGGGGGAAAAAATAAAGAAAGCTGCACTGCTAGCTCCATGAGTATTGACAAGTCAAAAGCCATGTTAAAGAGAATTTTTACAGAGTAAATGAAAACAGGTTAATATAATATTAAAATTCTACTCCCTCTTCCCCCGAAGTCTAACTACACATGCAAAAAAGAACAAAAAAGTAAAAAAAAAAAGTACCACACCATGCTGGTACTTTTAACATTGCATTACAAATGTTAAATCTACATAAGAATATAGTTAAAGCCATGCCAACCAAACAGATACAAATATATGTAATACACATTTTTAAAAAATCTTTTTTTAAAATCTCATTTTACTTCATTTAGAAACATCTACAAAATAGTTCAACTGAATGTGGGGTCCTATATCTTAGGGGCACTGGCCGGGAAATAAATGTAACTGTGAACTATATCAATAATCTCCCCATGAATTGGATTAGGAAACCACAATCAGTTTTTGCCCCTGTTTGATCTTACATTATCAATTTACAGGAAATAAGGAATATTTATGCTGAATTTAATTTTTAAAAATTTGTATCTACAGTAAAGCTACATGCCAAGCTAAAAGGTGAAAGGTCATAGTACCAGGTCAAAGGTTGCCTCGAGGGGTCGCTTCAGTGATTTGACAGCCGACTGAGTCTTAATTAGCAGGCAGCGAGCACATGATGGCAATGGGCCAGTGGGGTTCAAGCGCATTAACATAAACAGCAAGCAGAGGTGCATCATGGGGGCAGCAGTGCATTTTTGGGTAGGTGAGAAAAAAACAAATAAAAAACAAATCATCGGAATGCCATATACAACGAATAACAAGACTAAGCATGCACAATAAAGGCACTACTAAGTTGTTATTGTGAGGATACACCTCTATGTCGTTATTTACAAACAAGGTATTCTAACAGGGAAAGAGTGAAAGAAAGGAGAAGAGGATAAGAAAGAGAGTCTGCCTTCTGTATTTTCGCTCAAGTATCCATAAACACAGAAAAATGGACTCTCTCCTGTTGTCCAGTACTGGGCTATGAATATCATGCAACATTTCATATGAAGTAGTATTTTAATGGTCAGATTGTGTAACCACATCAAAAATATAGGACAACATTCACAGCTGAGCAAAGAACAAAGAAGGGACCCATTAAAACAGCTAATTGTTAACATCCCTTCAAATTACATTCTGAGCAACTCAAGCATTCCATAATTTCTTCCAGAGTGCGGCAGTGTTGCAATGCCATGTCACAGTCAAATTCCCTACTGCACAACATTATTTATGAATCCACAGATATATTTTAGAGAAACAAGAGAAATCAAAATCCTATTTCAGAATCTCCAGTGTTTCCACCCAGCTGTTGGAAGCAACTGCTCCTAAGTAGTTCCAAATATTAGTCCAACTCTATTCCCATAAAAAAATCCTTTAGTATAAAGTTACTGGAAAACTGAATATAGAAAAGTACATGTCACTGTGTTTATGCAAGTTTGACCATGCATGACCAAATATTTGATTATTTTGTTCCTGTTTGCAAGAATGACTAATTTTGCAGGTTTTATTTCCTAGTCTACAATTGTTTCTGCATAATCTTCACATACTATACATGTCCTTGTACTTTGTTGAAAACAGGTGTAATTTGCACAAATGAATTTCGCACTTTGTTCTGCTTTGCTCATCACTGCACCAACATTTTTATGCTTCTCATTTGCTCATGTGGGTCACTGTTTTTTTGGCAGGGGACTAATAGTAACCACTGAGTCTATGCCATTGTATCTGTATTCTCTTTCACTAAATTTGAGATACACGTCGCAGAAACTTGGAATGGATTTTCAAGTAGTTGGGCCATTGCTGAATCAGCCATTTTTGGCAAGTGCCAGAAGGAACTGGTAAGACATTATACACAAAGCAAATGGATATATGAGAAGAATCATGCAAACTGGTCCTTTGACTTCTCTGGTACAGAATTCCAATTACCTTGCCAAATGATAAATTCCAAGATTCTTTAGGAGGGAAGCTAGTCAATGAAAATGGCATGAAAATGGCAAAATTGTGTGATGAAGACATCCCATAAGGATAATGGAAACCACAAGAATGAAGAAACAGTAGTACCATGGGAAGAAAGTGAAGCTGTGTGAGAGCAACTATGCAGAACTAAGCCTATACTCTATAATGGGATATTATTCTTCCACAACAAAAAAACAGGAAACAGAGTACAATAAATAACAGCTCATGAGATGAGTGTCTTGCATAATTCTTATGTAACAGATCATATGAAAACCTCTGGACTCATCCCGATAGGTATAACAACGAGCTAGACATAAGCTTGTATATTAATCATCACACTGTCAATACAATGATAAGTAACATAGCTTATAATAAGTCCATTTGAGGCACGCACCCATATTGAAGGAGAAGTTCAACTGTTTTCCACAAGTTTTAAAAACTAAACTTGAAACTACTTAAGAGCAGTTATTGCTTGAAAACTCCTTGAAATAAGGAGAAGAGAGGTACCTGAACACTCATGTCTTCCCCAAGGAATGTTAAGATGTTAACTGTGGTCTGGATCTGGCAAGTTTTTTTGGCTTTGCAAAATGTCTGGACTTACCATGGCTGCAGCTGTAGCTGCTGCTTGAGCAGCTGCTGCTTGGTTGACCTGGTACTGAGCTGCTTTGATCTTAGCTTGCAGATGTGCAGGAGGGTGAAAATATTTGCACTTTTCCCTTGAGCATCTCCCCTTGATGTAATCCATGCAGACAGTCACGGTGTTGTCATTGGTATCAATCATTGCGCTGTCGGCAGGGTGAGCAAACCGGCAATCGTTTTCTCCTCTGTTACAATTGCCACGCTGATATTCTCGACACACCTGGAGTGGAATTAAAGGGCAAGCCCAGTTATTTCAACAGAGAAAATGAAACAAGATGAAACAAAAGAGAGCAAGACCTCTCTGCCAGTAATTGCAAGGTGCATCCAGTCAGTTGTTTTTGCCCCAACTTGAGGAAATGTCTAGTATTAAACTGATTGCTTGGTTGTCATGCCCTGCAAGGTTAACTCTTTAAACTGTTATGCTAGAAAATGAAGCCTTCTTGCTGCAAACTGGATTGCACAATCTAAGCCCATTTCTCCCCATTATTAAAGGGATTTGCATGTTCCGTTTTTTGGGGAAAAGGATGGGAAGTGTTTCATTTTTTAAAAAAGAGTTTCTAATTCTCTGCCTGGGACGCCACCTGCTATTTTAATTTGTGTGAGCTATTGTGTTGGCACGTGTCTTCAAACTGTTTGAGGACGTATGGTGACCCATGAATTTCACAAGGTTTTCTTGGGCAAGGAACACTCAGATGTGTTTTTGCCGGTTCCTCTGAAATATAAACTATAGCACCTGGTATCTATTACCTACCCAGTTTTAAAAGCAGCACTGAATTAATTTTAGCTTTCTCAAATAATCTGGTTTAGCTTTGAAATGTGTAGTATTCCTCTCTCTTTGTGTATGTTTTAGATTAACACAGAATTGTGTCAACCATCTGACACACATTAACAAAATTTATTAACCCAGCATTTCCACTATCTCACCACAGGAGGGAGTGCACACACATATAATGCTTTTCTTGTATACTTACATTACTTTTTAATGGTTCCTTTTATTGACAATAAGTCTGTGATTTTATGTGGAGACAGTCTAGCAGGACTGAAAAATGAGTATTAATGTTGAAAGGAACAGAGCCATTCTAAGACATTTTCTTGCTCGAGACAAAGTAGCAAATGGCACTCTATATGCATTCAAATCAAGGTCTAGAACACTCAAAGCCAACCAAGTTATTCCAGCACAAGACAGCCAATTTCTAGTCCTTCTATATCTACCTGGCAGTAAAACTGCAATAAATAACAAAGCAAATTACATTTTGCTACCTATGGGGTAACCGATTCACTTTGCCTTGGAGCTATTGTAAAAGGAAATAAAAGAAAGTCATTTAATATAAAAGTGTACAATATTTGCAATTCTCTACAAGACACTGATTATGAAGTTTAAGTGTATTCTGAATTAAAGATGTATAAGAACCAAGAGATACAAAAGTCTTGGAGCTAGTTTTAATGCCTCTTCCCTACTCCTTGCTTTACTTACAAAGCAGACTATACCATCTTTATGAAGTCAGTATAATTTTGGTGTTATCTGACCTGAGATAACACCCACACTACCATCATAACACCATGCAAGGAAGTATCTTTTCTACCTTGTACAAAATCAATGGTAACTACAGCAAAAATTCTCGAAGCAAAAGCTCAAAACCTTGTGCAACAAATAGATTTTTAAACAAGTCAATATGAGAAATCTGAACAGCAGACAGCATAAAGGAAGTGATTGAAGGTATCTTTGTTAGCTTATGGTAATCCCATAATTTCATATGATTTTTTAGACAAGAAATACTCAGGGATGGTTTTGCTTCTTCCTTTGAAAGCATCTAGTAGTCATTGGCAGTCTCCCATCCAAATGCTAACAAGGCTAAATCTGCTTAGTTTTCAAGATTGGGCAAGATCAGGCATCTTGATAAAAACTTTAAAAAAATAGTTGTAAGGTTATTTTTTCTTATGGTTATAAGAAAAAAAGTATGTTATGAGATAGAAGATTTTTCATCTTTGTCTAAATACTTAGGGTTGTTGTAGTCATTTTGCTCACTTTTCAACTGAGAAATGGGAGTAAGGATTTGCCCAAAGCCTTTGGAAAAGGTTCTTTTCTAGATTACAATTTCCAGAATTCTACTGATCATACCGGGTGGAAGTCATCATTCCCAAAATAAGCTTTCTAATCTGCAAACCTTCCAGAAAGCAAATGGCAACTAGAAAATGCCATGTAAACAGGAGTAGAAATGTGGCAGGGAGGAGGGAGAAACTGAACCTGAGGAAAAAAGAGCTATTGCCTATTTATAGAGGAAAAGATTTTATGGTTGTTGAAAAGGCACCGCTGATTCATAATCAAAACAAAAATGTTTTTAAAGGGCTGGAGCTGTCTGATTAAAAGCAGCAGTACCAGCTTCTGGAGAGCCAGCAACCAATCCCCTAGAAGGACAAAAAAAGCTCAGATCGCTGGCTGGCTTGGCAAGAATTTCATCTTCAGGAGCTGAGAAAATGACAGCCGTGTCCCCTTGCCCCACTTAACACACAGCAGAGCCAGAGCCCCACTCTGGAGAAAAGGCCGCCTGAACTCGGCAAAACAGCAGCCGCCAATCGAAAATTGCCCAATTAGGCTTGAAAAGGAAAACCACCTCCAGCCATTTTGCTTCCCTTGCATCCTCCTTGCTGTGCTTGCCTCAAGTTGCTAATCAATGCTGCAGTCACTTTACACTGCTCAGCTCATAGTTAACATCCCTTCCTGTATCCAATCCATGTAGCCTGCCAAAACCCAAGGTTTGGACTTGGGGGTGGGTGGGGGCTTTTCCTTGAATGAGTCAAAATCACGTCCCTGAGATTACATTTCAATCCAAAGTGGTCTCCCACATGTTTGGAAGGAGTGTGCATGGGAATACTGACAGTAGTGATATTTATGCAAGCTGCTCAAAATGATGTCATGTGACACACAGCATTTAGCATTACAATGTGTGATAGTAGCTACTAATATTAGGTTTTAAATGTTTTAACTTTTATTATGCATGGTTTTATCCGCTGTAAGATGCCTTGCCCTTAAGTGGGGAAATGCAGGGTATTAATTTCTTAAATAAATAAATAAACATATGTTGTGCGGAATATTTTCTCCTGGTGGTAGACAAGTCTCACAAATCTTGTTTTTGTCATAATATTAATATAGTTGTTGTTTTGTTGTTCTTGCAGCTCTTCCTAGTATATTTCACACCAGAATGTATTTTGCTTTTACAGACAAGCAGCAGAAGAAACCAGCTCTGGCTGGGTCTACACTGCTATATAATGCAGTTTGAAACTGCATTGTATAGTCATTGTAGACCCATATAAGGCAATTAAATGCAGTGAAACTATATTATATGCATCTACAACAACCATATTATACAGTTTCAAACTGCATTATAGGGCAGTGTAGATCCACCCCCAGTGAGTATTAGAAAACCATTGTATCCCTGTCGTGATGTTATTTCCTCATTTTTCCTGTCCTCTTGTCATAAGGACGTGGTGGCTCGCTGCGTCCTTTTGCTGAAAGGGTGGGGGAGGAAGGGACTCAGTAGCCGTGAGTGCTCTGGAGGGCTCCCAGCTGCTGCGTGGCTTCCTCAGGCCCTCCTACCAGGAGAATGGCCCCAGGAAAGCAGGCAACAGTGGAGAGCCCTCCTGAGGGCTCTCTGCTTTCACATGTCTTGCTCTCCTCCCAGCACAAGAATGGGGTGAGTGGCCCTGTCCTTATGGTGGCAGGATGGTCCCAGGAAGGCAGGCAGGAGCAGAGACCCCTCTGGAAGGCTCTCCACTGCTTCCTGTCTCGCTCTCCTCCCCACATCCACAAGGAGTGAGCCACCCAATACTTATGCAGAGAGGATGGCCCAAGGATCAGGAAGGAGGATGGGGAGGAGGATCAGTGTGGGAGGGAATTGGGGAGGATTGGTGTAGTGGCCGCATGTCTCACCCTCCTCCCAGCATAAGAATGGGGAAGTAGGCTCACCCCACTGAGCACGTGCCCCCCAGCCAGGCCAGCAATGCACACAAGACAAAAAAGTTTGCCCATGCCTGTTTTAGAGCATTACATATGGATCTGGGCAGTACTAAATGAGCTTCAGATAGTAATAACATGATGGTAAGCCAGGATCCTGACAAATTCTGGGTTATTATTCACAACTGCATGAGTTGATGTTTGCCTGATCATTCCCACTTGGCTTCTTCATCAGAGGGTGAGTAGCCACCATAGCCAGAAATCCTCCAGGAGGGGAAAAAAATTAAAGCTTCGACTTACATCTGAACCAGGCATCTGATTTGCTATACCCTTAGCAAACTTGAAATTAGCTCACCATACTGACATGCTCAGAAATGATAAACCAGGATTCAATTTAAAACATAGTGGTAAATTTGGTCATGCCTTGATTGGATCAAGGCTCCCAAGCACATTTCTGGCTGAGTGGAGATTTGAGCCCTTGGGTGCATCTACACTGTAAAATAAACACATTTTTACAATTTAACTGCCATTCCTCAATGCTATGGAATCATGGGAGTTAGATATGGTCTTTAGACTTCTGTGCCAAAGAGTGCTGGTGCCTCGTCAAATGACAACTTCCAAGGTTTCACAGCATTGAGCTATGGCAGTTAAAGTGGTGTCAATCTGGCCACAGTACAGATGCACTCTTTGACTCAAGTAATTTCACCACTAATCTACATTGACTCTTGATGTAGTACTTGTTGACACAAGTGGGTGTTGTTATGTAAATAGCTCTGTTTAGTAGAGATGAAACAAGATAAGACATCTATCCAGTAAGAGTGAGTAAGCATCTGGATACTAGTATAAATCTCCTCAGCCACCTATTTTATTTCAGATATTTCTCCTGACTTCCCTGTCATTTTTGTTTCTTTTACAACAAAGTGCTAAAAGAAGTGACTCACAAGCAGACCTTGTCTGACACTCATTCAGATGCAGCACAAGTGGGAATTATTAGGTCCTTGAGATACTATTAGATTTCCACTCAATGTTGACTATGCCGGCTGGACATTGATAGGAATTGCAATCCAACAACATTTGGAAAGCTGCATTATGCCCATCACAAGCTACAGGTTCAGGACATTCTATGGACTATAGTCTCAAGATATGAAAAAGAAAAAGCTGAGTAAAATGTACAAGACAGTGTCTATAAATTACTCACATGGATAGTTTGTACACTGGACCTCCAAATTTCCACCCAGACCTTGGAAATGTTAGTGTTAAAGCAAACATCACTTCATTTAAACACTGGTGTATTCATGTTTTGTGGAAAGAAATATTGTGTAAATCATTACTAAGAATAGTTTTGAATACTGGGATAATATTGATGATTTTTTAATTGTTTTTAATTTAAAAAACCTCTCAACTACAATAATTAAAAATAACTAAATGACAACCTCTCTGGCAAACTACCCTTCAAAATATTTAAATTGAAGAACAGTACTTATTGTTTCAGTTATTATTTATGCTGATGTTACAATGGTTAAAATCATGATTTTTTTTAAAAAAAACTGCTAATTTATTTTTGAAAAAATTAAACATAACACTTTAAAAACAAATAATTTAAAGCCATGTTCTGGTTCATTTCTTTCTATCACCGATGGATGATTCAGACTAAGAACAGTGTGAATTGACTCGTTCTAAGCACAGTCAGAGCTGTGAACATCAGTTGAGATGAAACAATAGTCTGGTCTAATATAAAACTATTCCCCAAATACACAATTGTGATTTGTAACCAACACTTGAATTCTAACATATCTTCTTCTCTCTTCACATTTTTAGCAGTAAACACAAACTAATGATCTTACACCAGGGCATCTGAAATATATTACTGAAAAATAGCACAGATTAGATGAAGGCCTAGCTTTGCTATTTCCCCATGCAACCAGCCAATTTCTCTTCGCAATTCACAAGTAGTAAGGTGCAATTTTAGATGTCTTCCTTATGGGAACTGACAAGAAATGGAAAGCTTTCTCATAGAAGTACAAGTGACGTATGTGAAATCAGATTTCTGATGACAGCGTTGTTGCTTTTTTCTGCTAGTTTGAACCGTTTATCTTTCTCTGTAAAAAGCAAGTATGTGTTGCTTTCTCCCCTGTTATTTCTGCATGAAACTAATCACAGTGAAAAGAAAATAGGTTAAACAAAACCAGAGTTGGAGCCAAAAAAATAATGGGCTGGCTAACACTGTCATTCTTTGAGGGTTTTTTTTTTTTTTTAAATCATTGTTAAGCATTATGCAAAGGAAAAGCAACAAACCAGTATGTGAAATAGCCATCCTGCCTAATTACGGTATTCTAATGCAGTCTGAAACCACTTTAACTGCCACAGCTCAATGCTATAGAATCATGGGAGTTGCAGTTTTATAAGTTCTTTAATCTTATCTGCCAAAGAGTGCAGTTGCCTCATGAAACTACAACTTCCAGGATAACCATAACACTGAGACATGGCAGTTGAAGTGGTGTCTAACTATAGATGCATTCTGTGGTATTTCTGATACAGGATTCTAAATACAGAAAACCCTCCATATCAGCAGGGGATATGTTCCTGGCCTTCATGTGTATATGTAAAACTACAGAAAATAGCAATGAAGGACATGTTGCCCAAGGACACCATAGTTTCACACTGAAGGACTTAGAAAATGCCTAGAGAGGACATAAATTGTTGAATATGGACAAATAAAACCATGGATCCAGGTCCTGCAGATTACAATGTGATATATGAGAGTCAGAATGGTATAATTTCTGCATTGTTGTAGGTCTGCAGGAGACCAGGGTTCAAATCCTTGTTCAGCCATGGCACCTACTGACTGACCTTAGCAAGTTATGCTTTCTCAGACAATGGAAAACAATGGCAGCAATTCTCACCCCCATGAACAAATCTTGCCAAGAAACCCATGACAGAGTGGTTGTAAGTTGAGGCACACAAGAACAATGATAACAATGAGATATACACAGGCAATATTAAGCAAAAACCATATAATTACAAATATTTCAATTAAGCATTATGCTTGCATCAGATCAATGCCTTCGGTATCCTGACCTGTCTCCTGTAATCTTAGAATCCTGGAACCTTGAACCTTTGGACTGGCTTTTGACTACGGTATAGACCAGGGGTCCTCAAACTAAGGCCCGGGGGCCAGATGCGGCCCTCCAGGGTCATTTACCCGGCCCTCGCTCAGGGTCAACCTAAGTCTGAAACGACTTGAAAGCACATAACAACAACAACAATCCTATCTCATCAGCCAAAAGCAGGCCCACATTTCCCATTGAAATACTAATAAGTTTATATTTGTTAACATTGTTCCTCATTTTAATTATTGTATTGTTTTTAAGTGTTTATTGCACTACAAATAAGATATGTGCAGCGTGCACAGGAATTCATGTTTTATTTTTCAAATTATAATCTGGCCCTCCAACAGTTTGAGGGACTGTGACCTGGCCCTCTGCTTAAAAAGTTTGTGGACCCCTGGTATAGACTCTTGATTCCTGGACTTTGTTTATTGAACTCTTGGCATTTGACCACTGGACTGGATCCTTTTGACTACGGAGTTGTTTTTGCTATCAGTTTTTGTTTATTCTGTGTCTGGGTGCTATCTTTATGTTTTATGTTTTGGTCTATTAAAACAGCCAGCAAGTAAGTGCTGTTTTAATTAAACTGTTTGATAAAACTGGGAGCTTGTTTCATCTCTACCTAAATAAGGTAGGGCCCTCACAACGTGACAGTAGGTAAAGCTTCATTTCTATCTATCATTACTATTAAAAGATAAGCAACATAGAACAGGGGGGGTTAGAAGAATCAAAACAAAAATGATGATAGCTTATATCCTACCTCCAGTCTGTCAGTCCTCATTAGCTTCTGCGCTGCTGCCGCTGCAGCAGCAGGAACTGGTACACCAGGATTCCCTGCAACCAGCATCGGTGCTGTTGGCAGGATTTCTGCCGGGACTAAGCCAGGGGAGACTGGCCCCAAGTAGGGGTTAAAGGCCGTTGAAGCATTGGTGGCTAAGCTTGGTGCAACTGAAAACATTGGCTGGGGGAGAAAAAAAGGAAATAAAGTGCAAATATTAGCCATTGCTTTATATAACATAACTTTAAATAAGACATCATAAACACATTCTTTAAATAATAGTTTACACAAAACATTGCAATGTTTTACATAAAATGCTTTACATTAGAGCAACTCTGTTGTTATATATCATGATTTGTGCGCAATGCCTTAGACCCTTGTCCTTTCAAATGAGAAATAATTATAGGATAACATTTCTGCCTTTTAACATAATCCCCAAATTATACTTTACATAGTGGGTATGCTTACTCATTCAATTATCCTACTGCTACTAGTATTCATGGCCATATTACTTATCTGTCCTATAATCTACATTAAAATCAATTGGGATTTATTTTTTTAACTGGAGTAGTTACTCCTTAATCATTTTGAGTTATATGATAATATATGAAAGATATTCAGAGACAGCCATTTTGGCCATGCAAAATACAACAAAATCTAAAATCCACAAGATACCTTGAGTGGCCAATCAAAATGCAGAAAATACATGATGCCGTGAATACAACAGATACTCACAAAGCAATATACTTGTATAGTACAATATAGTGATGTATAGCGCTGATATTGTACTGTGCTAATGGTATAATGTATTGTATGGGTTTGTGTGTGTATGTATATATATATATCTTGTAAGCCGCTCTGAGTCCCCTTTGGGGTGAGAACGGTGGCATATAAATGTTACAAATAAATAAATAAATAAATAAATATGCTACACTGATTTATGTCTTTTTTCTAAGGAAGACCATGCTAGTTTGTTTCCAGTCCCTGTCAATTTTAAGTGTATAATTCAAAATTCTGTAAAACCTAATTTCCACAGTAATCTGCCATTAAAATATCCACGACAATGCATACCACATTTAAATAGATATTAAAATACTTATTTTTAAAAGTTGTCACAACACACCTCTAAATATAGTTTCCTTAAAAGCTCCCATACTTGAATGTAAGTCATTCTTCAGTACATGTTCTGAGTCATGATAAATGATCTTTCTATCCAGTAATTAACAGAAAACTGTAGGCCAAGTCAGTTTCCTTCAAAATATGGACCCAACGAAATCCTGCAATGTGCCCTTACTGATAACAAGTACTTCTCCTGTAAATGCATTCCTACTCTTGCAAACCATTAATAGCTTTCAACAGTCTCCCACCCACAATTCCAATTAATTAAAAGTTGTACACTTTCTGGACATGGAAATGATCAAATCAATCAAGTTGAAGGCTCAGGGTGCATCTACACTCGAGGCTTTGAAATCATGGGAGTTTTACAATGTGTTTAGCCTTCTGTGCCAAAGAGTGCCAGCATCTCAACAAACTGCAATGCCCTTGATTCCAAAGCATTGAGACATGGCAGTAAAAGTGCTATCACACTGCATTAATTTTATACTGTAGATGACCCCTAGCTTTCAACTGAAATCATGGCCTGGAGAAGGAAAAAAAATAGATAACATATATTTATGATTGCCCATTACATGAATTGCTTGAGAGAAAGACACATCATATAAAAGATCTGTAAGACAATAAGTTACTGAACACTAAGAAGTCTGGTTCTGTTACCACTACCACACACACAAAAATATGGATGTGAATGAACCTAGTATTTGGTGACAATCAGATTCCACATTCAAACTTGTTTATCAAATATTAATAAATAGCTTTTTCAAATCTTTTGGGGCAAGGTTTTGGAGAAGGTGCTCGTCTCTCAGCTCTAAAGTTTCTTGGATGAAACCGATTATCCATTTCAATCTGGTTTCAGGCCTGGCTACGAAATAGCGATAGCATTGGTCACGGTAGTAGATGAACTACGAAGAGAGCTAAACAGGGGGAGTGTGTCCCTATTGATTCTCCTGGACTTCTCAGTGGCCTTCGATACCATAAACCACGGTATCCTTCTGGAATGTCTCTCTGGAATGGGACTTGGAGGCACTATTTTACAGTGGCTCTGTTCCTTTCTATGCCTCTTCCACACAGCTGAATAAAATCTCACATTATATGCTTTGAACTGGGATATATGGTAGTGTGGGCTGGTCCATGAGGTTACGAAGAGTCGGAAATGACTGAACGAATGAACAACAAACCCTTTATTCGTCTTAATCTTAATGTTTTGTTCTTTTAATGTTTATACATGAAATTGTAATTATGTTATGTCACTATTTAATTTATGGTAATTTTTATTATCACTTTATTGTGGATGTGGTATATGTTTTTTGATTTGGGTGGCTTTGGTTGTTCTGGTTTTCCTAGCACCTTACGGCATTGAATGCTTGTTGCTGCCTGTTGTAAACTGGGTGGGATAAAAATAGATTGTTATTATTATTATTATTATTATTATTATTATTATTATTATTTCTGTTAGTCTTGTACCCTTCTCATTCATTAGTGAAATAATATACTTGTCTCATAAGAAACCGTATTCAGATGGTTATATCAGAAGGGATGCCTAAAGGTAAGGCTCTGTTGAGTATTCAAAAATATATTAAAAATTGTAAAAACCCCAAACCGCCCCCCCCCCAAAAAAAACATCCCAACAACAGCAAGTGTCTCAAGTATCTAGAAACCCAGATGAGCAGAATCCCTGACAAGTCAGAATCTTCATAGTCCAGGACATACTCTACACAAAACATGCATGAGGTGATGGCAGTAGAGAAAATAATCTTTATGTACAGAAATTCTTTCTTTTATGCAGAAGGTGCTGATTTTTGCATAGAAAACTAGTTTTCTGTGCAGAAAATCTCATTTCCTTCACAAACCCACATGCATTTCTTTCTCACAGAGTGTTTCCCAAATAACAAATAGTATTTGAAAACTCCAGTTTTAAATAACTTTCTCACAGTAAGAGAAAAAATGTGCTAATATATTCATTTTTGCCTTTGAAATGAAATTAATGAAGATTTAAATCCCTACTAAAGGGCACAACATAGATTGATTGGCAGAACTACAGGACAAACAGATTATGAACGTATCATGTCTTAGAGCAATATGAAAATCTCCAGCTGATATGTCTAGGTGCTCACCATCATAATTCCTGTTATCACTGTAGTGATCATAAATATAACACCAGGAAAAACAAGCAATAAGAACATGATAATTTGCTGTCCATGGGGATGGGGATTAGACAGAGACCTTGTTATCATTTCCTCTCTTAAACCAGTAAGGTAGGCAACCAGATTTGCCTCTGGTGCTGGTTTACTAATCCTGCCACGTGCTTGATTTTGTGATTGACTAAGTGAAAGCCACTGCACCATTTTTAAACTCCTTCCAAGGGTGCCTGCTCTTTTCTTACACTTCCCACTTTGCAGAGGTACTGCAGACCTTGCAGAAGTCTGTCTCTGTTCTCCAAGCCTTGCTTTTGGGTGTACCTTATGCAGCTTCTGTTATTGGCATCTCTTTCTCTCATCCTCATCTTCTATCTAAGAAAACAAAGCTTCAGCACAACGCTCTCTTGCCTCTCCCTTGAGGCTGCCCAGGGGATGTGGAAAGCAATCAAACACAGAGAGTAAGAGACAGAAAGAGAATTGCTGCAAAGAAATAAATAAGGAGATCTGGAGTGGGCTTCAAAGGAAAGAAGGATTTTATACATAATAGAGTATGATCCCAGTATCCACATGAGACAGATTCTCCTGTAATAAGTGAAACCATGGAAAATAGTGAACCTTATCGAAATGAAGGACTTATGGTGCAAAGGTAACATAGAATTGCTCTGGAGGACCTAGAAAATACCTAGAAACAAGAGGACATATTTTGGATAAATGAAACAGCAAATATCGATTCCATGGGAGCTGATGTCATACTATACCCTTCTTTTGGAATTGAAAATGCATTCTTATGGGATGCTAGGCCATAAGCAAATCATTGGAAAGGGCACAAAGATGGAGCTTGCTGAAAGCAAAGTAACCACAACTACTACGACAGAAGACGGGATCTTTGTGGAAGGTTCTGGATGAGGCATACGCGGCATCTACACTGCTAAATAATGCAGTTTGGACTGCACTATATGATCAATATAGACCCACAAAATGCAGTTCAAACTGCATTATTTTGCAGTGTAGATACAGCCTTAGGAAAAGTCTGAGTGTGTGAGTGTTCATGAGTCTGAGTAAGTTTTATGTTCTTTAGTTGCACATGAAATAGTTGCAAATAAAGAAATGGGAACAGAAGATAAAGATAATAGTTGACACACATTTATAACATCTTTCTATTTGTAGTTGGAAGTAACTTTTCTTTATTTGTTTATTTGTTTGTTTATTCATTTAATATTTTGCATCAGCACATGGTCCAAGATGGCTTACAAGCAATTTAAGCAAAACAAATTTACAGAATATCTCGGCTAGGAACTAAGAAGCAGTACTTGTTTTTATGACTGTTGTGTCTGACTTTCATGCTTGTCAGATCTTGTCTGCTCACATTGGGTTGCACCACTACAACAATGCAACACACCTTTTAAAAGACCCTAAAAGTATAAAAAATAAAAACAGCCATCTGATGGCAACACGAAGCCAAAGACTACATGTTTATGTCCATTTAGGGATTTTTTTAAAGTGGGGGATATGGCTTGTTTGCATAAGCTAAAGGCAAGTACTTCCAGTAATAAAGCATATGAAAGAAAACAGCTACTAGCAACATTTGCATCATTCTTAGGGAATATTCATTTCCCTGCGGGTCACAGTCAGGTGGATGGAACATGAGCGAGAAAGTTACTAAGCTGTTAGAGCCCAGCAAAAAAATAAGAACTCATTCATTCTGGTTCCAATGACTGCTGAGTCACTTTGTGCTCAGTGGCCAAGTCACTGGTTAAAAATTAATGTCCTTGACTCCTTGGTGATAATGCAGCATCATTCTGCTTCATTTTGAACAAAATGCTGCTCATGTATGAAGGATATTCGTCTTTCTTTTCTTTAAAAAAAAAGCATTTTAGTGTCTTAATTGCAGTCCACCTAGAAAGAGATGTCTCTCCCCCACCAACTTCA